AAGAAACTAACATTATTTTAATTGGGTACTTTGTGGTCTCAAATGATTCTTTTTACAATTAAGCTACAATCTGCAAAAAAAACGTCTTGACCTTCGTCTTTTACCGTTTTTAGAGCAATTTGTCATAGAATGTGACATTATGTGATTGAATAGAATGAGACTCTGCCCGGAATCGAACCCTTATTACTGGGCTGTAAGTGCAGTGTCTTAACCACTAGACCACCTGTGCACACTCTGACTTTTACTGTGGATGGATAAAATTCACCCATTCATGAAGAACGCACTCAGAGCAGCAAGTTTTGCATCACACGAAAACTTTTTTTCCGCTGTCTCAATTTTTCAAAGGCGTCCGGATATAAATCCTCGTTTTAGTCTTTGTTTTGTCATTAATGATTTGAGAATCATAGCAAGACCTTTTTTAGTTCTGTGGCCACATGTTATTTTACCACTGAGATTAATGAGCCGCACGGAGTTCTGGCAACCCGGACCCCGCACTTCCTGATTGGCAAAGGGTAGGACTTGAGAATGAAAACAATAACAACTTTTACGGGTCGTAAAACTAATTTTGATACTCAAATATCTCGACTGAACTACAGTTATCAGTTAGAGATGTATTCAAAAAGAGCGTGATTTAATAACCAGAGGTGTGGACTCGAGTCATGTGACTTGGACTCGAGTCAGACTCGAGTCATGATTTTGATGACTTTAGACTCGACTTGACCAAATATAAAAAGACTTGCAACTCGACTTGGACTTTAACATCAATGACTCTGACTTTCACTTGGACTTGCGCCAATTGACTTGCAAAGACTTGCGTAACCCGGGCCATTTTTACCTTTCTCCGCATCTCTCTTTCTATCTATGCCGTCTCTGAAGAAACAAAGCCTCGCGGTAGTTGTAGCGCTCGCGAGAGAGTTCGAACGTGAGTTTCCCGCAGTTCGCGCAGCAACACTTCCCTAAACAAGCGGACTGCATTCACCGGTGGGTGTGTTGTCTAGGGGAGCTGGAAATGAGCGAGCTGCAGGTATTTATCGCGACCTAACGTCATATTTTGTTCTACAAACCGTAATTGATATGCTTTCACTACAGGCGCCTCATACAATTGAATCGACGCAGTTGTCACACTGTGTGCCGTGTTTTAAAGAGGAACTGGTGAGTCAAACTAGCGCTAGCCTGCGCTGCTCTGTTGGCTCTTTCTTATATTTTTATGTGTGGGCGCCGAGGCCTATTATTATGAATATGTTTTTGCTGTGCTCCTCCTGCTAAAGTTTGCATACATTAGATAGTTGTTTTGATTATGTGCACTAAGCTAGATTAATATTTGCACTATTGTTTATGGTTCATTGATATGAGAATCAGTACTTTGACTGATTGAATTAATTTATATGAGACATTTTATTATGTAATGATATATTGGTAATTATGAGATATTACTAATGCTGGCCCAGTTCATACAGGCCAGGTTCCTTCCCCTCCATTGGTCCCTTCAGTCCTTTGGAACAATAACCACTACGGACATTAAACTGATTATATAGATACAGGTCCTAGCCCAATACTCATATTCATATATGCTGCACTTGCTACTTCCCATTAAAAACCCCAAAGATAAAAAGTATGTTGACACGGACTGCTCTGATTTTTTGTGTGGTCTGTGCATGTGTAACTGAGCCTGCATCTGGCACAACATAGTTTTAATTTACCAGCAGCCAACCACATGGAACAAACTGTTAGTCCATGGGTCAGAGACCAACGAGAATGCACCAGCAAAATGATTCCTAACATTATTTAGTTTGCCTACAAAAGTACGTGGAGACCAACAAGAAACAAATCGCGGTCAAAAAGACTCGAGAGGACTCGAAAGTCAAACCGTAGGACTTGGGACTGACTTGAGATTTGTTGGCCTTTGACTTGGACTCGACTCGGGACTTGCCTGTCTTGACTCGTGACTTGACTCGGGACTTGAGGGCAATGAATTGAGACTGACTTGTGACTTGCTAAACAATGACTTTGTCCCACCTCTGTTAATAACGCCTTTTGAAATGTTTGGGCCATTTAACGATGACTTGACATGCAAATATTAGATACTGCTACTTTAAGCACAGTGGGATTTAAAGTGTGAATTTTCTTCTAATTTAAATTCAATAGTGAAAATATTATCAGATAACAAAATTCAATGTTATACCTGTTTTCAGTTTTCCCTCAAATTTGGAATTCACTTCAAACATTAACCTCGCTTTGAAATCGCAGACCGAATCCTTACTCAAACAGTTTTGAGATAGTAATAGTAAGATTTTTTTTTTTTTACCCAATCCTACAGCTCCACAAACAAACAAAAAGGACAGAAATTCGTACATTTTGTAAGTACTGTATAATCCGACAGAGCAGTTATTTCTTGCACCTTGGTTCACTTTGTGGCTTAAAAACACAGCAGTTGCCTTGTTGACTCATAAGCAAGAGTGATGTGGCCTGGCGGGTTCACATGAAATTTGATTATAGAACTAATAAAATCATCCCTGTCCCTGGCTATCTGTTTGATGCACATCCTCCAGCTTCACCCTTCCAGCTCGGCATCCTCCTTTATGGATCACTGAGGCTCTGAATTACTCCTGTTTATTTTGCAGCTCCTCAAAACCACCTTGCATATGACCCCAGCGGCAATGTGCACATCATCCATCTACACCTCCGCCTGTGCTGCTTTAACACTGTGGAGGCGTTCGCACTGGAACAATTCAGTAGTAGCTTTTCTCTTAAGTCATCTTTATTTATATCTCCGGAGCAGGTTGCATGCAGGTGGCTCGCATCTTTCAGCTGTGAGAATCTAGCAGGATTATGAAGAGCACAATACCTAAGCCGTATTGTTTTTGGTATATATTGCCGTCCAAAGTTTGTATTTAGTGGGCCTGTTTAAGTAAGTCAGTCTCACAAGGTTGGAATCTTTCAGTCAGGCATTATTTAGCACTGAAATTCTAAGTATACACATTATTTTTGTCTTTTTTGTGAAATGTATTTGATCTGTGGAAACATGTAACCTTAGTTCTAGTGTACATAATGGCCATAGAAATAATAATATATATAATATATATATATACTAAAATATCAATGTTTTGAGGAAAGCTGCCTCTTTGTCTTCAGTTAGAGTTTAATGATGAGTACCTACAGTAACTTTTGTTGTTACGTAAAGACATGTGTTTGTCCCGACAGAAAGAGTTCTGTTTAAGTAACATTTTGTGAACAAATCTATGAGAGCTGATGCGCTGTTTTTAACTGAAAAAGCTGATCTAATGATGTGACGAAGGATTTTTATTTAGTTTTGTGGTTTCAAAAAAGTTAGGTTCTCCAGCATTTGAATTCGATTTTTTTTAATATACATACATGCATAAGAACTATCTTATTTTGATATCTAAAAGAAACTCATAATAATGTCCTTTTGTTTTCAACATTGACGTGAATTTATCGGTAATACATGAAGCGTGTATCTATGGGAAAAGGCCAACGGATAAGATTTATTTATTTATTGTAAACCTGCAGCTCTGCACTTATACCTCCTACATTTTATGATCACAGCCTGTATGGTTGTAACTTGCTTTCACTTGCATTCTAAAGTAAATAGATCATTTACAGGGATACACTTTGATACAAACGCTAAAACAAATGTGGCTACTTTTGTTTCCATTGCTCTACAGTATATTGTCCTCGCACAAACCCCGACCCATGGGCCCTTTGGGTGTTTCTATGAGGCCCATGAGCCTTCCTCAGTTTATATAGATGTAGTATAAAGACTATAAAATCCCTCTGTTCTGACGCAACATATAACATTTAAAATAACATCCCATTAGAAAAATTAAGCCTCAGAATAACGTTGGAAATTAGGTCCAATAATATATTCCAATGTGGCCCTCGGGAGGAAGAGTTTGCCCGTGCCTGGTCTAGCATCATATCCGCTGATCCAGGTTACAATGCAGAATTTTCCCCTTGCATCATTCATTTCTTTATACAGGGAAAACTTAATGAGAGGAATTATTTTGTCATGAGTTCCCTGTAGAATACAAATGCATGATAAACGCTAAAGAGGCTCGTATTCTCTGGTGTGAGATCAATAAAGTCTAGCTTATCTTATACAAGAAAAGTGAAGCAAATGCAATGGCACAGAGGATAGTTGAGTCTGTATTTGAGCTCTGTCAGAAACGCTGCAGTGGAAACAGAACATTTTCCTGTGTTTTATTTGAGTTGTGACCTTTGAACAAGAAGTTGCACCGACTTGATAGAAATTGAAACGTGGCGATAGATGAGAGCAGACGCAGGTGTTCAAATATTTGACCTTGGCCGGTTGAGTCTGATCTCAAAGTGTTTTCATGGTCACATAAACCTTCGCCTAAAAACAAGTATTAAAACATGTCAATGCTTTCTCCATACTGTTTTTTACTCTTTTTGTTTTACTCCAAGCACATAAATCTTTGTGGATAACAAATTCCAGCTGCTTCTGCTTTATTTCTGAATATAATTATCTCAGCATCTCCAGGACTTTTATTCCCGCTTTTAACATTTCCAATTGGTTTAAAGCTGGAGTATGTCACTTTTTTTTGATTGATAAACACATTTTGTTTGTCCCAACAGAAAGTCTTGTTTCATTATCCTTTACTGATCAGCTGAGTGAGGGCTGGTACTCGTCATCACTGAAAAAGCTGATCTAAACATGTGACAGAGGCCAAAAACTCTCAACCCACAAAAATGATCCATGTAGTCCTACTAGTCCTTCGCTCTGGTTCTAAGATAGGCACTCCAGCTTTAATATATTATGCTTATATATAATATAATATTAATTATATTATTATTTTTTTAGCAAAGGTGATTCATGAATAGTTTGATATTCAAGGCTCATCCTACTGTGTTTACAAATGACTTTGACTTTTCAATTAAATCACTTTATTAAAGGTTGAAAGGAAAAAAATTGATTATATTAACTGATTTACAATTCATTTTCTTTTTGTGCTTGTATGCAGGCTTGAAAACCTACCTAATCTCTGGCAGAAAGGTGGAGCTTCTGTCTCAGTGTAGCTGCACGCAGTCTGTGGGGTCAGAACATTTGGACCAGAGTGTGCACTCCTCGAACAGCGTCCACAGTTCTCCTCACAGCGTCAAGGTGAGCTTCTGTCGCTCTGTTTCCATCTGTCATTTTGGGCATATGTCCGTATGTCCAAACATCTGCCCTAAGTAGAGGTTACTCTTTTTTTTTTTTTTTCCAGGGCTGACTCATCACAAATTAAAAGTCAAGGAGGCCATTAACTGGTGTATATTTAGAGCTGATATAAATTTACAGCAAATGTGAAAATATTGTTCAATAATGTAAATTCGATTTGTTTAAATGCCTGAAGCAAATATTTACTTAACAAAATCAATAACAGAGAAAAATAGCTGCACAGACTGGATGTGATGTAACAGCAGAATTGGATAGATCTCCCTGGTAACAGATGTTGACTTTTTTGCTAAATATTTGATGTAATTTTATCAAAATTAAGTGTTGTGATCTAAGTAGATTTTAGAAATAAACCAGACTAAAGTAAACTAATCAAACAGTGTTTATTTAGAGTAGATATAAGTAGGACTGTTGTGCACTAGACTCTTACATGTTCGTGTTTAGTTGAGTTTTATTCAATCTTGTGTCGACCAGGAGGCTGGACTAGACTAATGCGTAGATTAGTTAAAAAAAAAAAAAAAATGTTTAAATGGTCCAATAGCGATATATTGTTATTGACCAATTTCCATGCTGATATATTTTATTTGTTAGTGCATCCCTAGTCCTAATTATGTAACGGTTAGTTTTTGCCTTGGCTAAGCTCACCTCAAACTTTGGTCCTCAGTCCCCCTGCCTGTCCTGTGGCGCGGCCTTGATCCCCGGAGAAAGTCTGGCAGCAGAAGAAGGACTCGTGCACACCTGCCATGAGGACCTCAAGGCCAACAGCATCAAGGTTTGTCTGTTACCCACAACTAACTCATATATATATATATATATATACACTAAGTCAAATGAAATAATATCTGATTGTGATATTTCAGATAGCTATTTGGATCTATTTGTTGTTTCTATCTGTTGTTGTTTCTGAAATGAAGCCAGAGCACTAAGAAAAATCAAATATGAGGGAAATTAAATTATATGATGAGCAAATTCTCACTTAAAATTCAGTGTTAAAAAAACAACCTCGCCTTTTTTAGCATATTTTTTCAACATTTGCTGTGATCTTTGTATTTCTAAGCCTGTTCGTCTGTAAAAGAAATATTGCAATCTGAATAATTGCAAACTAAATCATAATTTTGCTAATTGTAGTGATGAAAATTGCACTTTTGATTCAGATGATTGGATTGTGGCTTATAAGATTATTCTAATAGGACACAAATCTTTTTACATTTATTGTTTCGATTACGATTAATCATGCTTATGCACTATCACTAAACAAATGTATTTCAGCTTTAGTTAGACATGCTTCATATGCAATACACATATTTGAAGGCGTAACGGAACTGTAATCTCTTATTTCCATTGCTTTGGCATTTATGGTGCATAACAAATATATAATAGTCAAAAAATATATATAAAGCATGCAGAAAGAATTAATAAGACTTAATAGTAATAATATTCATACAATTCTAATATACAGAACACACACACACGAATAAAAAAGTGACCTGGAATGTGTTAAAGTTGTAAAAGTCTCGAGAGATTGGCAGTAAGTGGTAGATTATGAAGTGTTTGTGACTTGCCTTTTTAAAGTAAAAATGCTCATGTATTTCCTAGGACTGTTCCAATCTGGAGGGTTCACCTGCCATTCCATTGGGGATCGGTCCAAAGGCTCTGAACGGTCTGCTCAGCCCACGCCTGGAGGCCTTGAACAACAGCCAGACGTCGCTGTGTGAGATGCTTCAGGAAAAGGAGAAGAAGACGTGGAGCGGAGGGGCGCTGGGCATGGACCACTCCGCTCTCATCCCACTGCGATCCAAGAACTTTAGAGAGAGGAGCGACGCACACTTTGTCGATGTTATCAAAGAGGACAGGTGAGACTGCTTTACACATACTGATGCATTTTAAAGGAGAATGGCGTAGGCTTTTTCTGGTGGAGGTTCTTTCAGAGGTACTTTTTCACTTTCTATCCGTGGCGTTTGAAGGATGCTCTGATTGTTAGTTTGGTCGTTTGTTGTGACAATGACAACAAAGACAAGAATTGAGTCTAGAATCTTCAATTCCTTTCGTTGTTTTATTCTTCATAACATCACAGATTTCCGATCCATTGAGATCACACATAAACTAAAGTCATTGAACTGAATTAGCCACGTACCTGTCACCATAATTTGTATTAAACTGCATTTTTTCTTCAACGGTTGTCATGTCCGCTGTTTCCTGATTGGTTTATTTTTTCTGTCAATCTGTGGGTGTTTGGCCCGCCCGTTCAAAATGTCCTCAATGTGCCCTGACCATAGACTGTAAGGCCTGATGAACAGCTTGTATCC